TTTTGTTAGTGCGATGAAGCAACTGCCATAGTTTCTGGCATAATTTTGGAAGAAGAAAAAAGACCGGAACAATATGGCATAACAAGAAGTTAGCTTTTTTTCCTATTGAATTACTCGACTGTACCTTTGATACCCGATTTACGGTTTCAGCAATGTTCATTCGTTGGAAAATTTGCAGTTTAACGGCAAATGTTACAGGCATTTGAACACTGATGTTGAAGGTGTTTCGAACAGCCTCAACATTTTAAGAATTAAATTGCGGTTAATTATAATTAACATTTATTTAATGAGGCTAAGTATGATCTGGACAATAGTGGAGATAGATGAGAGTGTTATTGGCCGAGGCCGATTAGCCCAAGGCGAGATCTCCATAATTCTTCATATCATATGAAAGCCGAATCCAATATTGCAGATGTCTTCCAAATTTGGTCAACGCTAGCTGGTTACGAAGAAATAACCATGGGATTTGATGCAATCAGAAACGAAGAAATTAGTTTGAATTTAAAATAATATACTTCAGTCAGTCACCTGTTTTGACTAGTGCGTATTCAGAAGTATGCGAGTTGAAAAAAATGTATACGAATACCTAAGGCCATGTTCACACTATGTCGGATAGCCTCTTGCGCCGGCACGAAAACCATACCGGATGGCCTCCATTAACCCACAAGAGCGGTGATTTTTTCTCGATTTCTGAAACAGAGCGAAGCTGCGCCGCGCCCGCAATCTTGAAAGTGGATCTTCACAGATCGGATAGGTTTCTGCAACTCTTGGCGGAAGTAAAACTGGAGGAGCGAGGATTGGAACCCATTACATACAAACCTACATGCCTCTGCCCGTTAGAGAGCACCGGCCTGCTTCAATAACCATATAAGCTTAAAAGCGGCTGGCAGGCATCTGTTTATACGATTGCCAGTTCGTGCGACAGAAAAGTAAGTTAACGCAAGGCCTAAGTAACCCCATCGTAATTATTATATAGAGATTGAACAAAACGTGAACGTTCAAAGGGAGCTGCTTCGAAATCGACAGTGCATTTGAATAGCCTTAAGTGTTTGCTTATTTTCAACTATTTAAACTGGCATTTCTCTATCAATTTTAGCTGTTTGAACCTTGAAAAAAGGAACTGGTTTAAACGTTACTATAGTTAACTCACACAGGTCCCTTTGCACCTCCAGCGACGTCTCTCAAACTTATAACTTTCCCGTTGCTTTTTCTGCGCGAACAGACGTCGATCTTTTCACATGTTTCCGCAAAAATCCCGACAAATTTAAACATGAAAAGAAACCAGACGATAAGGGAAATTTTGCTTTAGTTGACTTTTATCATGAGTTCGATTTTCTAAGGAATCGTTCGCCTCCAAAAGGACTTGTCACTTCTTACTACCAAACGTTCATATTCAAAATCAGGTGTCGTTAATGGTAGGAAGTTTAGGTATAGAGTGGAAGAGGTTGATTAGATTCAGGGTTTGTCGACGGAATTTAAAATCGACCTACTGTTTCACGAGGAAGACGGAACGTTTACAGTTTTGGAGGCTATTATTTAAGCTCATGAATTTAAGAAGCAGTCAAGAGTTAATTCATTTTGGGAGGCAATTATTTTACGCTCATCAATTGAAGACGTAGTAAAAGGTTAATTCTGATCTAGTGGCAGCAGCTTTCAATACTCATCCAAATTCATATTGCAAACTTGTAACCTAAAATCGCTGGCTTTCTGTTCGAACCCTTAGCTGATAGGGCTTAGAAGTTCTTTGTAATGTTTTAACATTAAAAAAATAAAAACTGTAAAAGCCCGAATATTTTTAAACTTCAGTAGGACACTCTTTTTACCCGAACTGTGTTAACTTTAACTTTCTCTTTGTTGGCGAAAAATATGGGCGTGAGTTGATGAAATAAAAGTTTTTAGCCTTTATTGAGCGAGTATACGTTAGGTACATTTAGTACTTCATGGCCGACACGAGCTTAAGAATGTAATTATCATTCGCATAATTACATGCCAGTTGAAGGCAACTTAAAACGTCAAGGAGCGTCAAATAGCATTTCTCGTCAAATTACCGTTCTGTTGCTTACAAAAGTATTTTGAAGTGCTTTTTTATGGGGCATCCAGAAAGAATTAGTTGTAGCCGGTGTTTAGTGCTTCTTTGAAATCTGCCACACCACCGCCTCTCCTCTGTACTTTAAATCAAATATAAAGTCCCTTTTAAAGGGCTTCCAAAGACAATACTCATCAAGTTTGTTGAAAAATTGTCACGTTACCCCCTCCCCAATGTTGATTCACGTATCACCCATTTGCAAATAAACGCAACATTACGAAACGAGAGGAGAAGTATACTTCGGGAAAAGATGGATAAGTTGGTTTAGAGGTTGCCCACGTCGCAAAGGTAATCTAACCCCGTCAGTTTAGTATAAAAATGCCTGCGAATTAGCGCCGATATCCTTGTTCTGGGCTCCCAACAGGCTCAACGTGCGTTTCCAATATCCCTTCAAGCTGATTGGTGAATTAACACCGGCTTATCGACGCGTTCTCAAATCCTGGTACCCGGGGAGCCCAGAACAAGGATTGTTTCGGAGCTGTTTCACAGACGGACTTACTAGGAGTTTGGTTTCGTCTGTGGCGCAGGCTCGTTGAGCAGGCGTGACATGAGAAATCCTTAGTTTCAGTCTAGTGTTTCAACGAATTGTAGCAAGGAAGTTGGACTCTGGGAAGTAGGATTTGAGAAAAAAAAATCTGTTTTTTTGGTTTCCCTAATATCTATTCGCTGGATAGGAATTTATCCACTGGATAGTGCTATCCAACTTTTAAACAACCAGGGCCTCTTGTCTTAATACACAAAACGCAAGACACGGTTTTCTTTAAAACTTATTTCATTGGCCTCTTTCTCTTGTGTCCTTTGGTCAGGGATATACCCTAAGTTCGATTCATTAATTTCTTGGTTTGTCTAGAGGACACTGAATGGACGCTTAAAAGCGACCACCTTAATTGGAATCCCCATATAGACCACGTAACAGTTGATCAAAAGGTGGATAGCGCTATCCGCCGTGTAAATCTCTATCCATTGGTTAACGCAGTTGGTTTACGAGACACTTATCAACTGGATAGTGATTTACCCAGTGGCTAGTGCTATCCAAATTTTCAACAACTGGGGTCTGGTCAGTAAAAATCATGCAAAAAGGTACCCACAAAAGATATTTAAGTTTATACAATCATTCCATCAATTACTTATGGTCTGCTTTGAACGCTTTGAGAAATGCGCTATATGGCTATTTCAAACTCAAGACCACATCATGCTAGAGCATGTAGCGGACTTATTTAAAAGCTTTCAGCTGGGTTTCGATCACGAAAATCAACCATTTTAAACCACGATAGAAATAGTGTTCATTTTATAAAAGTGCAATCTAAGTACTATTTTTATCTTGCTTTGCATTACATTTCGAGGGAGCTGTACTCAGACTTCAGACTTTGGCACGTAACTCCATTCTGCATAATAAATAGATAAATGAAAAAATTGTCAAGAATTCAAATGGAACGGACCATTTCGGTTCAGTCCCACCGGAATATTTGGAACCGCCTTTGAAGGTGCACTTTGACCGGTCCTACCGGTAGAAACGAAATGCGTCTTTCCATTTGACAAAGTTGTTGTCCCCAAAACCTCTTCTCAGTCCTGCTTACAAGTACAATACAGCGGATATTGGTGGATCTCTGTTCGAATCCTCCAAATGTGAGTAAACAACAGCGGACTTCTGCTTTGTTAAAGCATCAGTGCTCAACAATCACAGGTAAATGATTTTATAATGATGTGTTAAGGGAGTCGACCATTTCTCCCATGATTTCTGTTTTATTTTGGTTTCGTTGTGTTGGGTGCGAATCAAACGNCATTCTGCATAATAAATAGATAAATGAAAAAATTGTCAAGAATTCAAATGGAACGGACCATTTCGGTTCAGTCCCACCGGAATATTTGGAACCGCCTTTGAAGGTGCACTTTGACCGGTCCTACCGGTAGAAACGAAATGCGTCTTTCCATTTGACAAAGTTGTTGTCCCCAAAACCTCTTCTCAGTCCTGCTTACAAGTACAATACAGCGGATATTGGTGGATCTCTGTTCGAATCCTCCAAATGTGAGTAAACAACAGCGGACTTCTGCTTTGTTAAAGCATCAGTGCTCAACAATCACAGGTAAATGATTTTATAATGATGTGTTAAGGGAGTCGACCATTTCTCCCATGATTTCTGTTTTATTTTGGTTTCGTTGTGTTGGGTGCGAATCAAACGCGCGTCCTAAGGTCAGGTCTGTGCAACCGGAATGTATCTTTCTTCTTAGCTTTCTAGTGGAAAGCGCCCCAAATTTTCTAACCTCCCTTCTAGTTGTGGACAACAATATCCGAAAGGTTTGGTCATTTTGGTTCCCGCCGACCTTATGTGTCTCTTCCGACATCTAGGCGTATTAACAAATTTATGATAGCCGTGATAATGACTATGAATATGGGTTTTTTTTGGAACGACGTGTACGGAGTAATGGAAAGGATGGTGTAAAAATAGCTAATTGGAATATCCATAAATTTCAAATGATTGCTGGGCGAAATTTTCTGACTTTCGTTATGAAAGAGCTGGAATAATTAAGGTGCTTATATAACGTTAAAAAATTGGCGCCAGTTATTTATCCATCTGTCCTCTAATTAACAGAAAAAAATAGCCAATCAGTCAGCGCGCAAGAAAAAACTCAGCCATTGTAAAAATACACCATTAGAGTATACTATTTCATCATGCTACTTGAATGAGGCTGGTGCACCTATAACAAGTAAATAGCAAGTCTCCAGTGCCATCGCAAAGAACACAACAATGATCCCTGGCCCTTACACAATGACATTATAAATTAAACTTCACACAATAGGACGACAAAATAGTGGATATGTCTGCTTGGTTTTTCGAGCATCACCCTTGGCTGCAAAATAAAAAAACCTACACACTATTTATAAGCGATTCCAATGTCAAGACCTGTAGTCCGTTCAGCTGGATTGTTTGAAACAGCCATCATCACACGCGCATTTTGACGAAAATGTCATACTCTGCGAACAAACAGATCAACTAGGTAAAGTTTCGACACATGTTGAATGCATAATGTTTAAATGTCCGAAAATTAAAGTACGGTTTAAAAGAGTAAATTGTTGTCTGTAAACAAATTCTACTATCGTTGAAGCCAGCCAGCATAAGAAACAAGTCTGCTTTCCTTATTTTATCTAAGACATGTTCAACCACCCAAATACTTTATATCTTCTTTACAGCTAAATGCAGTATACTTATTGAGTTGGTTAGCTAATAGGCTTGTATGTTAATTTCCTGAGGTATGAATGAAAGATAAAAAAAGTTTGATTCAACATTAAAACTTATATTTCAGCAGAGCCAACCGTATAAATTACAAAGTTTTTCGTTGACAGTTATTATCATTATTTTAAAGAAGAAATAATATTGGACCTAAAACAGGCTCTTGAGGAACACCACACGTTATCTGTACTTTTTTGTGAGATATTTTGACCAATTTGGGTGGTCTGTAACCTACCTTGAAGATAAGACGCAAACCATTTGTTGTTCTAACTTTTGACTTTTGTCGTTTTAACTTCTGATGGTGTGACCATTCAAATACAGTATTCTCTATCTCGCCTTTCAGTGCTTAACAAAATGAAATTTGAGATTTTTCTCGGATTTTAACTTAGATAAAACTTTGGGAGTGAAGGTATTTCGCCTTTTAAAAGGTCGTTTTAATCATAGGTAGTACTCAAATAGCCATGAGCAAATCCCAGTGTCGTTATGTTGAAAAAACATTTGCCCAAAACACAATCGAAAACAAGAGAGAATGTAAAAAGAGAAGGAATCATTTTCTTTTGATTGAAAATAAAAGTAAGGCAAATACAGCTGTAGAACCATAGTTCTTACGTATTCTGATGTTAAGGGCGTGTAAACTTCTGTAACACCGTCTGTGTAGCCTGGAAATTTGCCAGGATCACATTTTAGAGTAATTTTGAAGGTCCTGAAAAAAAAAAAGAAAATAGAAAGGATAGACATCATTTTGTAAGTGATTGTCGTCATTAAAGTGAGTGTTTCGAGCGCTAGCGTTTTGGTAAATCCTTATGTGTGCCACGTCTTCTTTCAGCTTTAATAGAGAAGAGAAGTGATGAAGTCACAAAAACTAAATTCGTGAAATTATGGGATAGGTTGGGATATCCAGAAAAAACAAGATGAAAAATGTTCACTAGCTAAAAATTAGTCAGTTGGTGCAAATTGGTGGGGATATATAAGCATCGGTTTGCACTGATGACTCCATGTTCTGTCGCACTTTGTAATAAAACTGTCGCACTTTGTAGTACCTGCACACTTGTAATAAAAAGCTGTCGCACTTTGCAATAACAGAAAATCACACTTTGCCAAAAAAGAAGCTGTCGCACTTTGTAATGACCCTTGTCGCATTTTGTTAGAAACTTGAAATGGATGGTCGAAGGACAAGTAAACCAATAAGTATCATCATCGACAACAACAACAACAACAATAATAGCAAAATAATAATAATAATAATAATAATAATAATAATAATAATAACAATAATTATAAAAATAATTCACTGAACGGTTTTCAGCACCAATTTCTCATGTGGAAAGTGTTCACATCAACAGCGGCCTTCCGGATTGTAGAGAAGAGAGAGAGAGAGACGTAGAGACGTAGTTGCAAGGTCTCATTCCTTTTCCAGCCCCGCCGCCAGAGCGACCCGGAGAGCTCGCTCACAGGCTATCAAATTCTTTGCACAGCTCCCCAAAGCCCTCAATTACGTTTTCTCTCAATATGGTGGTCTTCTCTTCAAAATCGCCCCCTCCCTCTGGTTAGGGTGTGGTAAAGGTGATTTTTTTTAAAAAAACCATCAAACTTTGGGTTGCAATTTTGGGTTAATTTCGCTCCTTTTATGGAATTTTTAATTGTTTAAGGTGGCTCCGATATTAAAGCAGGTGCATTGATCTATGACGAACTTTTCGTCATTACTTTTTCGTTTTCAACGTAATGGTTGAGAAACTTTGTAGTCAGTGGTAAGAGAGACAAAAGAGAGTAAAGTTCCTTGTCTAAGAAAACAACGCGGGGAGTAGGTTGTGAGGTAAATATACCGCAGAAATGATGTAACAGGAGAGGGGGGAGGCAAGTTTTATGAGGACCCAACAACATTTGAGCGCTTCAAATGAACAAACAACGTTTTCACGCAACCTTAACAATAAGCAGAGTTTGATATAATTTCTTGAATAAAGGTTGTGCTTATATACTTTTTATCCTATAGGCTTTCCTTTTTAAAGAGGCAGAAGACTTACCAAATTTATTATATGACAAATTCGCCACCCCTGGGAGGACTTTTGATGAGTAGGGCCTGGGGATGGGAACGCTTGGAAAAGACTGAGCCATAAATAACCAAAATCAGTCTCTTACCATCAATTAACCAAATCACGTCTTCAGTGGTTTTTAAAAGTATATGTCATTAAACGTAGGCCGATTTACAAGAACTCTAACCTACCTTTTGTATCCGGTTGCGTCAACGACAGGCTCGTAATTCATGACTGTATTTCCTTCGCTGTTTACTTCAAAACTACCAACAGTGTCACCACATGGAAAGGTGTTCTCCGGAGACAAAGAAAACTTTTGGCAGATCTTAAAAACAAATAAAGGAGAAGCTATTAGGGGACCGTGTCGCTCAACTGTATTTCTGCCCTTCAAATTTTGTCCAATAAATAATCTTGTGATACATGTAAATGAAACATGCTTTCACCGCAAGCAGGCGCAGTTTTGCTTAATACCTTCTTAAGTATGCACAAAAAGTGTTTTAACTACTTCGACTTAAACTGGAAGTTTATTTGCAAGAGAGTGATTTTTAAAAATATCAACATTGCCTTAGCCCGAACGGCGAATGGATTTTGAGCTTTAAAAAAAAAGAAAAAAAAAACGCCACTGTCAGCATTGACTTGCGTAGCTGGCGGGATCAGGGTTGATGTATTCCCATTCTTCTCGCGGCCTATAGCAAAATTCGTTCCATTGGTGCTTTCCGCCAGCTACGCAGGCTATCAGCGTATCCAATCGCTGTCTGCAGATCCTGAGTTCTGACCAACAGCAAGTTTAATTTTTTCTCTCAGACGTTCCGAGTTCAAGTCTTCGGAAGGAGAACATCTACTGCACTTGGGGTTAGTACTGCCCCACCAACAGTCCTCACTCCTTTTACTTATAAATCGTAAGATTTGGGCCAGCTTCCTATTGACTTTTGTACCTTCTTAATTGTGCCATTTACTGCTATATAGCCTTTAAAACACTTACCAAAAGGTCAATGCAGCTACTACCTTCGCTAAACTTTGTGCAAGGATTCCAGTCAAACACAAGTGTTGTATGATAGGGCGCCTTAGTTGGAATTCCTTTGAAACTTAAAAAGAAATAAAAGCAATCAACCCCATGCACCACAAAAGTTTCACCCCTATCAATGATGTCCAGTTCTACTACACCAAATGATGAGTAGAGTATAGCTTACAGCTACCACTTGTCTACGGTGGGGCTGGGGCTTAAAGAAGTTCTTTTGCACTCGCCACGGTGGTAACCGACGATGTCAATGATCGCAAATGAGATCCTTCGCCTGGGGCTATGCAATGCTTACAGCTGTCCATGGCCACCACTGCACATGCACAACCATATCGTTGATACCTTTGGTACCGTGTTCTTTGCCGAGGTATAGTATACTCATTTAAGACTGAAATGAGAAATTTGATTGGGTATACATTCATTACCCTTTTCCATAAAAAATACTGCCAATCAAAAAGGTAGAAACCATTGAATTTTCTGCGGTATGCAATAGGTCGTTTTCACACACACGCCCTCACAAAATTCAAAATTCCCACATGTATCAGGGCATGTATTAGTCCAGTTAAAATTAAACCTATATTTTCTCGTTTCAAAAGGGTAACTTGCTTATTTACATTTTTACTTATACTGGTGGAATTGACGCTACCCATATTTTCTTGTTTATAACATCTGAAAATAACCAGCTCCCCCCTCCCCTCAAAAGTCAAATGATCGTCTCAATCGCAGAGAAAAGGTAGACACAACCCTTTCTGGTCCATGAGTCCGCCATTTTGTCTTTTTTTGGTCGGAGACGACTTGCTACTGAGTAAAAACTTGATTGGCTATCCCACAGGCAGCCCAGGGTTAACTAAGCTGAATCGGCTTACGTGCAAGGGCTCACGTCTGGGCTTGATTACATGCATTGCGTTTCCATGCAGATTTGGAGGAGCTTAGTTTTCGGAACTTTGATTTCTATATCCTATCATCGTGACTAAACTGGTCAACAAAACATGTCTATAGCGGCACATAGGCCAAAATGACAATGTTACCCCCCCCCCCCCGGGTTCACTTCCTTGAAGCCCTCCAAAACCGGGCTGCTAGGATAGTGGCTTGTACTGTGCGCAGCAAGCAGGCATTGGACGTTCTGAAATGGCCCACCTTGGAGGACCGCCGACGTCAATCTGTTTTTAAACTCGTTAAGAAATGCCTGCAAGGTCAATGTCCCCAGTATTTTAAACATTATTTTAAACGTAATAATACAATCCATGCGCGCGCTACTAGACAAAGCAACCTCTTACATCCGCCTGCTGTGAGAACTGAAATTGCAAAAAGATCCTTCTATTATCATGGTTGCACTCTTTTTAACGAATTATCTTAATGATATTTCGTGTTTTACATCTTTTAATCTTTTAATTGAAAATAGTTTTCTATTTATATTATTACCTGTATTAGTGTAATGTTTATATGTTTAGTGTGTTTTTGTGCGTTGTTGCTCAGGGCTCCCATTGATAACAGACAGCTTTTTGCGTCTGAAGGGGCTACCCTGAGCGGTATAAATTAATAAAGGTTCTTTTTCTTCTTCTTCTTCTTCTTCTTCTTCTTCTTCTTCTTCTTCTTCCGGAAAGTTGACCATTTGTAATACATGAATCCATGGACCTTGCGAACCCAATTTGAAACGGAGCCACTTTGAGAATACTATTAGATAGTACTATTGGTTTCTTCACTGACCTACATAAGTAATGTGGTGATTTCTCTCTTAAATTTGCGCTTACTGACTCGTGGAAGAAAAAAAGTTTAGTTCCTATAAGATGTACTCACGCAGGTCCACTAGGTCCATCGATTTCCCTCAGGCTGATAACTTTCCCGTTGCTTTTTCGGCACGAGCAGTTGTCGATCTTTTCATATGTTTCCGCGAGAATCCAGCGGAATTGTAACACAAAAAGAAACGAAACAAAAAGGGAAAGTTTTGCTGCACTGTTATGTTTCCTCTCCATCGAGTAAGAGTTTATAAAAGAAAAATAGTTTTAAGGTTGCATGCGTGACCCGCGTTTGTTGAGTAGCGCAGCCTGGTCTGTTTCACTATACCGGGAACAACCCGATCGTCTGGAAAAGCCGGATCGGAACAAATTCAAGGAAACTGGGAATGTTTCTTACAGGTTTTAGTAGGTTCCACAATTTTTGGGCTTTTACTGTGGTTAAAATAGTATAGAACGCTTCATCAGAATGGCCGACTAAGCAAGGGCAAAATTATTCCAATATTTTGTTGCAGTAGGAAGAACATTTTTGCTATTCTGATGAAAACACATGAAAACAGCGAAAAGCTTGATTTTTCCGCGACAAATGAAATTACATAATAACTTTCGGAAAATTGACTTAAGCAACCCGAATGAGACAAATACGGCCTTATCTGAAAAAAGGTGACTTATTTCAAGTTTTATAAAGATCTATAAAGGCGAGCGAATTCGACAACAAAGTATCATATTTCTTGTTTTGGGTGCCATTCATGATTTTTGGAGTTTTTCAGATTTTAGCTACAGGTTTTTAATATTGAAAAGTAGGAAAGTGGATGCCGGAAGCGATCACTCATCCGCGCCTAAGTTTTTTTCTGTCTAATATTCGGCACTATTGTGGTCATCCAAAGAAAAACTGTGTTTGCTTCTAACACAAAGATTAGAAGTGCTTTTGTAAATGCCAGAAAAAGGAAAAAAATTATTGGTGGGGCTGTAGCCTACACAACCCCATTTCCGATTTGCCCCTTAAGCCTTTGCTCAAAACGAGGCTAAGCGCGAAGCTATTGATTTGAAACTGATTCTTTATTCTCATGGAAATGAAACTCATCTTCCCAACAAAGGTTTTGCACTCAGTTGATTTATAGCCTCAATTTGAAAGTGAGAGTTTTTGGAACTCGGAAATGGCCTATTGAACTCGTTTTCAGACATTGCCATTTGAAAAGCATGTAGCTTCAAAATAAAAGGTATTTGTCGAACAAGCAATTCTCTTACAAATGCTGTGTTTTTACCTTTAAACTCCTCCATTTCACTAGGAGAAAGGTCGCATCTATCAAACCACGTCGAACAAAAAAGCCACGAAACAAGCTTAACTTGACACTTCCGGTTCAAATTCCTTACCCTACCAAGGCAAAGGCGACATTCCCCACCCCTCTGGGTTCAAATGATGGTCAAATGCCCAGGATTTGCCTGGGGCTGGAGATGCTGAATTTTCGCAGCAGGGTCGTTTACAAGCTCGTCACGCAACGCTGCTCCGGCTCCACTAGACTAAAAGTAAATTGTAGTAGTTTGCCCACGAAGCGCTAGGATTTATTGAGAACTCGTTTTAATCGTGTCCGTGCGTTCCAGATCGAATTGGAACCTCTCGGAGCAAGGGAGAGAACCAGCAACAATCTCAAACCATATATGGCGTCGACACCGGGATTCATTGGTGGGAGGCGAGTGCTCACACCACTGCGCCACCCTTGTTTGCTGATTCGGCTCGTGATTCTCGTGATTCTCCTGTGGCCACTCGACGCATGGACCAACCCTTACTGATATTTCAGCTGATTCACAGGATTGAATCATTCGTGATTCTCGTGATTCTCGTATGGCTCACGAATTTCTTCTGTGTATCAGCTGATTTCCGGGCTGCTGCTGACAAAAAGGCGAACAGTGCGAGGGCAAGTTGGTGGAAGAGCTGTCTGATCGCGATCTGAGCTCTGAAATGTCTTTTGGTTTTGATGAGGACTTTGTGAGTTCTATTGACGAAGATCTACAATGTTCAATTTGTTATCTGGCTTTGCGAGAACCGGTTCTCACCAGATGTGGCCACAGATTCTGTAGGCAGTGTCTCGACCGACACATGGCAAGGTTTGTCTCTTCCTTTTTTTTTTGGAAAATAACGTTGTCTCACTAAGGTAGTTTCCCACTTAAGTGTCTTAATAGATGTAAAATTAGTAGTAAATTGTGCTTGTGTCGTAAGCTTATAAACTTATATAGGGGCAAATGCAGCAGAAATGTCGGTTAAAATCCCGGGGGGGGGGGG